AACATCCACGAAACAAAGAAAGGTCTGTCACAGCCAAAAAATACACTCCAGACACGCCGCTGGCACTAGAGGCACAGCATGGCCGCCTAGTAACGGCCCCGACCACTGCCGCTCGATATATATCTATATCGTGGCTCATTTTCCATTCTGGGGAGCATCAGTCCGGTTCCTATTCCCCCGGCAAGTCAAAGATAGTACAATGGTTACTCACTCACGCTCCTCCCCCTTATGGCGTGAAGGCCATAAACCAGTATAGTAGTATAGCGGGTAAAAGCATTTCGGTATTGGCCTGGGCCGGTAGCGAAAGCGGCAGGCCACTTCAAAATGTTGAAGTTGCAGGCTCGCTAGACTTGGAAGGTAGCTTAGTCAACTTAGGCTCGTGTGAACTGGTGGCTTAAAAAATTTATACACCCCTTACTGGTTGCCTGAGTTTGATGCAGGAGAATGAATTCAAGTTTCAGACAAGCAGGGACATCGGCAGCAGCCAAAAAAAGGCCACAAGTACTAATTCAATGTCTACCAATGGTCGCTGGTCCAAATTCAACCTCTATTAAGGGTCACTCATGCAAATGCAACCTTTATCAAGGACCACCGGTCCATTCTCTATCAATAGATTCAATACCTATCAACAGCACATAGCATCCTCTGGAATTATTCAACTACCGAAAATACGTGATTGTTCATCAGAAGTATCTACTAATACTTCTACTAATACTTAAAGGGAAAAGCAGTCCCCGTAAGACGGTGCCTTTGGGCCCAGCAAAAATAAGTCCCTCACGTCGTTTGGCCGGCACAGGAACTGTCCCGTGAAATTGGCTGCACAAAGTTTTTTGCCCTGCGGCCGCGGGGTCGAGTCGGGGAGGGGCCAGGTGGCTTTTGTGGTACTTTGTCTTGCGGGCAGTTTTTCGCATTTTGCCGTCGGTTGCAGAAAGCGGGCAGTGTATAATTCCATGTTCCAACTAAAGATCCATTCAATTTTGCTCATCCTGTCGATTGTAGAAAGCGGCCAGTGTATATTTCCATGTTATAGCGAACGATCGATCCATTCGATTTTGCTCATCCTATCGATGGAAGTCGCGTGAAGCCATCCATGCGATTTTGCTCATCCTATCGATGGAAGTCACATGAGGACAGCCGCAAGGTTGGAGACCTACCTGCTCTCTCTCTCTCTCTCTCTCTCTCTCTCTCTCTCTCTCTCTCTCTCTCTCTCTCTCTC